ATGAATAAATGATTTAAAAAAGAAAAAGGGGCTGGTGAGATGGCTCAGTGGTCTAAAGCACCTACTTAGAACAAGCTTAGCAAAGCACAGGGACCGTGGTTCAATCCCCCAGCACCACATGCCAGCCAGCCCCGCCCCTTGGTGGGCTGAGCTGGCCACACACACAAATAAATAAAATTTAAAAAAAATAAAGATCCAATTGAATAAATACTGGGATAGTATACCTTAAGAGATGCAATCCTCACAAACATGCTAATCACTATATGCACTAATTACAGTGTTGAGAATGATTTTGTGTGGTAAGCTCATAAAAATAAAGTATCTGACAATACTTTCTGGAACTTAAATTTACCTCAGTACACAGTGCACTTGGGTTACCTGTGTTCTGACAGAGAACAAAATAGCCTCAGGTCTCTGCTGGCCACAAGTTCATTCATTTTGAGGACAAAGAAAGTGCCCAGAGCCCTGCTTTAGGTGGCCTTCACATCCCCCGCAACTACCAACACCTTTTTTCTCCAACACAGTCTACAGAAATTGTGAAAAAACAAGTTGAAAGAGAAAGCTAGAAGTCTGAGGGTATTTCCTTTTTTCACCTGAATTTCCATTCTGCGATGAGTGATAACATTCAAAGGTGGTCAGGTCAGAGCTGACAGGAAGAGGAAGGAGATGGCTGAGAAGGAGACAGGCAGAGAGGCAAGTGACATTCATGCTGGAAGAATCACAAAATTTTCATTACTGTTACAGTAAATCACAACCTTTTAAAAAAAGTAAAATGGAGTCTCTTTATAGTTGATTAGACAATGAACGATACTGTCCTCATTACTGTAGAGGATTGGTAACTGGTGGTCAACTTGTTATACCTGTAGAAGTAAACTAGCATGGTGCAAGGTGTGGGAGGCCCACCTGATGATGGCTGCTGGCAGCGTAAGAGGCAGAACTAGAGAGGCCATCGGGAGGCTGTTAGGGAAGCTGTTAGTTTTCTTGGGCTGTTCTGCTGGAGGACCTTGTCATGCTGGCTTTCTGGTGAACTTGACTGTTCTGTCAGAGGAGGAGCTTGGGGCCTCATCACCAAGAATGGCTGTAGTTCGCTTCTGGGGAGCTCTGGGTCAGGGAAAGATGGTGCACAGCTCAGCCTCCTGGAGAAGCTTGTCCCATTGGCTTTTTAAAAATTTTATTTGTGTGTGTGTGTGTGTGTGTGTGTGGTGGCCAGCTCAGCCCACCAGGGGGCGGGGCTGGCTGGCATGTGGTGCTGGGGGATTGAACCGCGGTCCCTGTGCTTTGCTAAGCTTGTTCTAAGTAGGTGCTTTAGACCACTGAGCCATCTCACCAGCCCCCCATTGGCTTTTTTGATGGGAGCTCCGCCGTCCTCATCAGAGGAGCGCAAGACCTCACTGTTGCTGAGGATGGCTGTGCTGCTTTCGGGGGAGCTCTCGGTGCTTACCTTGAGCATTGCTTCCTGGCTTTAGTGCAGATCCCTCAGCCTGCTGGCACAGACCTTCTAGCTTCCACCCCAGACCTTTGGGCCTTCCCAGTGCAGAGCTGTGAAGCAGACCTACATGAGACACTGTCATGGCCTCTAGGCCGCCAGGTGGACTTGTGGGAGGCATGTGATGAGCTCTACGTTTCAGCTGGAGCAGTCATCAAATGCCAGCTGACCAGCAGGGCAGCTCATGATTACAGCCTCCTGCAACAGCTCTCGCTTATTCAGAGCTCCTGCGGGCCTAGGCTCTGTGCAAAACGGTTCCCTTGCACCTATGTCCAATGTGGAAGAAGTCACTGTGTTCATTCCTGGTTTATAAATGAGCACACGGAAAATCTAGGTGGCTTGTCCCTGGCTCACAAGCAGCTCTTGTTCATCTTTAAGCACTATGACCGCTGCATTTTGTGCTCATTTTGGCTGGAGTCTTAGACCTGTACGTAGCAATGGACAGATGCTCAGTTCTCTGGCCAAGGGACAGCTAATCTGAAAAATGGGGAGATGCATGCTTTGGAGGCAGATTACAAGGTGAAAACGCTGACATACAAAGAGGAATTACACCGAGAAGTAACTTGACCACAGTTTCAGAAAGTACGATTAAAACCCCATCTTGGAGTTGGAGCCTGCTCCCAGGAGCAGGGGGCACACTGCGGTGCGGTGTAACCTAGGCCGAGCACACAGGTGGCCCCACCTGCGCTGGGCCGGCTCTCGGCGCGCCTTCCGCCGGGTCGGATCACGCGCGCCACCAGTGTCACGAGAGGACAGTGAACACCTGCACAAGGCTGACGGGGCAGCGCAGCGTTAGGGGTTAGGCCCCGTCCCTGAGCCCAGGCCCTGGCAGCCACCGAGCCCAACCCAGCCTCAAAAGGCAGGAAGTGGTGGGGCCACGGCATTTTGGGCGCGTTTGCCAGTGACTCAATCCCAAAGAACCTGCGGAAGCTCTGGGATCCAAACACCAGGGACCGCTGTCCTTTATACTACTTCCGGGGAACCCTGGGCGCCGCCATGACAAACCGGAAGTAGGAATAGCTGCCGTACGTAATGGCGGGAACGGAAGTAGCTCTTAGGGTGCCGCCATGATGAAGTTGAGCCTGATTGGGCGGCTTGTCTGTCACTCTGCGACCGGAAGAGCGAGTTAGGGCGGGTAGGCGGGGCCTCGCCTTGACAACCCGATGCCGGAAAAGGCGGGTCTCTCCTCCTTGGCGGATCCTCCGCTGTACCGACATGTGAGTAGTAGGGACGTCTGTGCGATCTTGCTGCCGTTGTCTCCTCTTCCTCGTGACCTGCGCGTAGCCCAGGCTCCCAGAAGGAAGAACTGGCTTCTCTATTCCGTGGAGACTCGACCTCAAGATTGACCCATGCCCATCTGCGCGTGCCAGGCCCTGCCCTCCGAGCCCTCGATCCTCCCTGTACCTTGTAGTGGACGTCACCCAAGTTCTGCCCGGGGCTCCAGCCCAGTCCCTGCCATTGCCACCCTGGCACTCTGCACTTGTCTGAGGACCGCTAGGACTCCGGTTTGTCCTAGAGCTTCCCATTTCTCCCCTGGAATCGCCAAGTCTTCCCTCTTGAACTTTCCAAATCTGCCCAAGGGCCCAGACCTCACCTTCAGTGCCCACAGTCCGACCCTCCCTAGACCCTTCTGATCTTCATCTGGATTCCCAGACCTTGCGCCCGCATCGCCCCAGGTCTCACTTGTAGGACTCTCAGATCTACCCCAGAGGCCCAGCCTTGTCCAGGGCTTCTGGATCATGCCACTAGGACATTTATTTAGTACCGCCCCTGGATCTTCAGACCACAAGGTCTTGGGTCTCATCTCTAGACTCAAACTTTCTGATCGAGACTCTTCACCAGAACCCAAGACCCCACCTCTTTGACCTCTAAACCTCATTTGTAGGACCCCCAAACCCACTGAAATTGCAGCCTCTCTCCCTAGACCTGTAAATCTAACTACTGAGGCCCTAAGTCGGTGTGCATTCTGTGAACTCCAGCATAATTAAGGCCTACCTTAAAGTATTTAGGCCTTGTTACAGGAGCGCCACTGTCTCTGGAAGCTTTCACCTCATTCCACAGCTCCCAGGCAGGGCTCAGGCTTCAGCTCTGCCCTTCCCAGTCCCCATTCCGGAATCCTTAGAGTTCCCAGATCTGCCTCCACTCATTGTCAGACTCTAGACCTAGATCACATCTCCCTTTCTTGCTGTTCTCTGCCATTATCCTCAGCCTCCTTTGTCCTGCAGGCAGGCGGCCCTGGAAATCACTGCTCGCTACTGTGGCCGGGAGCTGGATCAGTATGGCCAGTGTGTGGCAGCAAAACCTGAGTCATGGCAGCGGGACTGTCACTACCTTAAGATGAGCATTGCCCGGTGCACATCGGCCCAGTGAGTGTGGGCAAGTGCAGATTGCTTGGGTGGAGAGGTGGCAGATGGACAGCAGGGTGGGAGTGGTCCTGGGTCTGAAATGCGCTCTCCCCACAGCCCAATCATCCGCCAGATCCGCCAGGCCTGTGCCGAGCCGTTTGAGGCTTTTGAGGAGTGTCTTCGGCACAACGAGGCAGCTGTGGAAAACTGTGCCGAACACGTGCGCCGTTTCCTGCAGTGTGCGGAGCAAGTGCAGCCGCCGCACTCACCTGCGCCTGTACAGGTAAGGAGGTACCTCTGCTAACCTTCTCCCCCTTACGACCTCCTTCCTTTCTAGTTGCTCGAAGTAAAGACTTTCAAACGCCTGCTTAGGCACAGGCAGGGGCCCGGAATTCTAATCCTGCCATGCCAGCTCCACCCCCGGAGCACTCTGAGATGGTGCTTGATACTGGGTGTGGTGGTGCGAGCCTGTAATCCCAGCACTTGGGAGGCTGTAAACAGGAGGATCACTACAAATCCAATTGGCGCAGTGAGACCCTGTAGACCCTGTCATATATATATATATATATATATGACTTTCAAGCCTTTGACTCTACCTTCCCCATGTACCTTCTCTGTGCATCCAGAACCCACAACATGGTCACCTGTTGCCAGCCTTGCACATCCCTGACTTTAGTCCAGCCGCCTTTTCTCACCCTTCCTCTGCTGGGATACCTGCCCCAGCCTTCTCTCTCATCTCGCTGAATTGCTTCTTGCCGCTGCATGGTGGCCAGAAATCTAGTCACATGATGCGGTTGCTCACAACTCTCTGGTGGCTTCTCATTCACATTAAGAATAGAATCCTGGGTCTTTGCTCAGTTCCTGTTTTCTTTCCAAAGCCGACCTCATCTATTTGCCTCCTTATGTAACCTGTCCCTTGCACTGCTTTTCAGCTGGACTGACAGAGGGACTGGGATGGAGCTGGGGGGAAAATTTATCCTTTTTAACATACACAGCCTTGCCTGGCATGCACAAGGGCCTGAGTTCAATCCCTGGTTCTGCCAAAAAAAAAAAATAATAATAATTAATTAATTAATAACATACACAGCAAGGGCCAGTGAGATAGCTCAGCAGACAAAGCGCCTGCTTTGGCAAGCGCAGGGACCAGGGTTCGATCCCCCATCCCACATGCCGCGCCGGCTCTGCCCCTGGGGTGTGCTGAGCCAGCAACAGAGTCCAAGCGTGATGGCGCACTCCTGTAATCCCAGCACTAGGGCGGCTGAAAATAGGATCAACAGGAGTCCAGTCTGCGTAGTGAAACCCTGTACCAAATACACAAATTCATAACAAAACGAAACAAAAAATAAACAGCATATCTGAGGTAGTAAAGAGAATCACTCCTTTGATGTTGACTGCCTTTCCTGTTGGACTGTGGACAACAAAGGGAAAAGCTAGCTTTCATCAGACCCTCTGAGCAGCCCCCCTGTGGCCCTCTCTGCGTCCTGCAATCCTGTCTTCCCCTGTCCCACCAGAACAATGTCCCCCAGCTCTCTTATCCTCTTCAGGCTTTCCCTGTGACCGTCCCAGAATGATTTGAAAAGCACTCTGACCGTGTTCTGCTTCTACTTAGAAATCCTTCCGAGGCGCTCGCTCCCACCAGGCCGGCTCTCACCTTCAGCACAGCCAGGAGCCCAGCCTCTCCCAAGCCCCCCCCCCACCAGCTCCACACTGCTGCCTCATCGCATGAGCAGTTGTGCATGTCTGTCCTGCTTCTGTCCAGCTCCTTCCCTCCGCATGGTGCACGGCTGCCCTTACTGCCTGGGCTGTCTGGCTCCTGGCTGGTTCTTACTTCAGCTTACCTGGGTCTTCTCTCAGAAAACCTCTCCTAGTGCCCCGCCCCTGCTGCCAGGCTTGAAGGTCATTGAGCTTGGACTGTGACCCCCTGCTACTGCTGCGGCGGTGGCTCCTGCTGGAGGGAGGTTGTTGGCTAAAGCTTGAGGAGCCGCCATGCTAACCAGGCCCAGTCATCACTGCCTCTGTTTTGGATGGAGATGAATGAAAGGTTCAGACTGGCCAGACAGATTTTGAATTCTCAGAAGACATTCAGTAATGATCACGTCCTCTCCTCACTAGCTTCCTGGCCATCTGTTAAAAACATTTCTTCCTTTCATCTTTGCTTTTTCTCTTCCTTTCTTTCTCACATTCCCCACTCCCACCTCCTGACAGATAGTCTTGCCATGTAGCCCAGACTGGCTTCAAATTCATGATAATCCGGGGGCCTGGCCCTAGCTCAGTTCTTTAAGTGGCTGCTTCCACAAAGCTGTCAGCCTCAGCTTGCTGTAGTTCAATCCCCACAACCCTCCAGCCAGCCAAAAGTGCCCTGAAGGCATTCGGCGAGAAAAACAAAAAAATTCATGATACTCCTCCTGCCCCAGCCTTCCAAGTGCTGGGATTTCAAGCCTGCACCGCCACACCGGCTTTCTTTTCTTTTTCATTTTGCCCCCAGACAGGGTCTTGCTATGCAGTTCAGACTGATCTTGAACTCACTGTGTAGCCCAAGCTGGCCTTGTACTTGTGGTGATCTGCCTCAGCCTCCTGAGTGTGGAGATTACAGGGCTGTGCCACCATATCTTTTTTTTTTTTTTTTTTTTTTTTTCGTGCTAGGAATTGAACCCAGGGCCTCTCTTTCATTTCCAGCCTTTTTTTAAAATTTATTTTGAGACAGGCTGTTGTCCTCTACATTGTCCAGGCTGGCCTGGAAATTGCTGTCCTCCCCTCAGCCCTCCCAGTAGCTGGGATTACAGTCGTGCACCACCATATCCAGGAACATTGCTTCTTAGTGTTTTGGTCATCCAAACAGCAAAGGCTCCGCTCTCCCATTCTTTTTTTTCTTTAATTCATACCAGGGATCAAACTCAGGACCTCGTGCTTACCAGGCAGGTGCTTAAGCCATCAAGCTATCTCCCCAGTCCTGCCTCCCGTTCTAAGGCCGGTAGCTCCTTCCTTTTCTGGACAAGCTGCCAGATTCTCTGTGGCCTCTCAGTGACCACCCTACCCCATAGTTTCTTTTGTTTAGCAACCAAACAAACTTAAAAATGGAAATGAGGCCACATGGCTCCCTTTTAAAACCCCACAGCTGTGCAGCGCTTGCAGCGTTCCTCTCATTGACTGCCTCCTTCCTGGTCGTCCTGGTCACAGGTCATAGCTTCTCCTTCACTGGGGTGCTAGCACCCGGCCTCCTTGGTTCTCTGTCTTCTGTGGTAGACATGGATGCGCTCGCTGCGTGGCTGCTGGAGCGGTGTCTCCTGCCTTTGTCACTGACAGTTCAAAGAGTTACGTGTTCCTCCATGTACACCCCTGCTCTCCACCTTAGTAAAGGCCACAGGGAATTTCTCACTGCCGACATATTTTTGTTCAATTGTTGTGTCTGTCCTTCCCCCCCACCCCACTTGAATGGAAGCCCCTCTGTGTCCAAGATTTCTGCCTGATGGGGCTCTGATGCCTATACAGTGCAGGGCCTCGGTAGAAGGTACCTTCCCCGTAACAGCATACCGCAGCCAGCTTGTTCTCATGGCAGATGGCAAGACCATCGCCTGACATCCTCTCCCTTAGGGCTGGCCTTGGCTGTGTCTGCAGAATTGCCCCACCGTGACCCCAGGCTGGCACAGGAGCAGTGCCGGCGGTGTTGATGTGTTTTCTCCACAGACTCAGCCCCTTCCTGCCTCCTGAGGACTCCTTGGACTTCAGGAAGGCTGGACACGAGTGACTGCCTTGTGATACCCTCACCCCTTCAGAGTGCTGCGGGCCTGCACCGTGGGCCTGGCTTCCCTGGACTCCCAATAAAGACTGTGCAACTGACTCTGGTTCCTGCCATTAGCACCTGAGCAGAAGCCCTACACTTCTGTCCCCCAGCTTCAAGGGAACCTAGAAGGGCTGGGGAGGGGACGAGACATGCAGTCTGTTCACCGGGGCTCATGGAGCTGCTTCCTTGCTGGCACTGCCAGGCAGCTACTCCCTGTCTTCTGCCGCCTGTGCGTGAGGAGAGGCCCTGGGTGCTTCCGCTCAAGCACTGACTAAATCTCTGTTGAGCTTGCTTGAAGCTTGGGGAGGGAGCAGTGTACGACACTCTACCTTCCCCGATGAATTCAGAGTGGGATAACAGTGAGATGGGCAGTGAGATGAAGTACTGGCTCGCTGAGAACGGCTGCGTGGAACACTGTGTCTCACAAGCCTGTGAGACTCTGACTTCTGTCAGGGGTCCTGTGGAGCCAGGCCTGAGAGTTTGAGTGTAGGTTGGTTGTTTACAGTTTGGGTCCACAAACACAGTAGGGAGCAGAGAGGGAGCAGAGGGAGGCGGCCAATGCAGGGGCATTTTCCAGCTGGTTACCACTGTGGGACGAGGACCCGATCGCCCCAGAGCCCTCTGAGAGGCTGCATACAGCTGACCGCAGTTGCCCTGTCAAGGGGCAAGGAGATGGCGGTGTTTGCCCCCTAACTCCCCGTCTGTCACTGAGAGCTATTGTCACAGGCATTGACCTTGTACCCTGGCCTGCCCTGTATGGGCCAGCAGAGGAGGGTAGAAGCAGTAGCAGGGCCCAGGGAGCCATCTTTGCATGCAGGAGAGGTGCTGGTGGGCAGGTGACTGTGGCTTAGTGTGTCTCCTCACAGTCACAGCCTAGTCAGTATGAGGAGGTCATAATGGATGGAGAGCCCAGCCCTGGCTGGTAAGTAAATGATCCTGAGATATCCTGAGTTTCTCAGGGTAGCAGTGGGGACAGACATGGGAGCTTGATCAGTAACAAGCTACCAGCAAGTAGGAACAGGTGTTACATTGTTCTAAAACCTGAAATTGGCTTGCATTACTAGAACCACTGCGCAGGCTTTCTGGACCGTCTGTCCTTTGCTTTGTGGACTGCCCTGCTATCTGAAAGCTTCCCTCCCCCAACCCTCTGTGCTGTCCCACTCCTAACTATATGGCTGTGACACTGCTTCCCTTCTGGAAAGAGTGCTGCCTAGCCCTGCAGCTGGTCACTGGGGGAACATGTTCTACCCAGGACCTGGGCCTGCCTCTTTTTGGCTGGCATCCATAATGGCCCAACAGACCCTTTATTTCATAGGCCAAAGAGTCTGTGGTTTTAGTTTAACAGTGCCCTTGCCTTCATCTGGATTTACCATTTGGACAAGTTGCTTTGCTCTGGCTTGGAAGGTTGAGACGGCCCCATGCACACCCTACAAGTGTTTCTGCACTCTCCTGGGGATTAACCTGGAAGACAAAGGAAGTTGCTTGTTGGCTGAGGAGCCAGGGTGGACATTGTGTACAGTCAGGACGGCAGGAGCCACCAGATGCCACCAACAGACAGAAGGGGAGCCAGGTAGTGGAGAGAGGATTGTGATTGGTTCCTGTGGTCCTGAAAATGCTGCCTGGAGCCTGGTGGCTTTCTGCTCTCAGCAGCAGGTTTAGCCTGCAGGTTTTGTCTGTTTTTCTTTCTTTCCTTTTTTTTTTTTTTTTTTTTTTTTTTTTTTTGTACCTGGACTTGAACTCAGGACCATGAGCTTGCCAGGCAGACTGTGCTGCTGAGCTGTCTCCCTGGCCCTGTAACCTGCAGATTTCTGCTTCAGTTTCCAGCCCAGCCTTTGCTTGGGCAAGCTTGAGTGGGATTGAACACTGTAGCACAAAATAAATCTAATGAAAACAAAACGGAAATCCAGACTACATGTAACATTTAGAGCATCTTTTATGGCATTTTCCAGTAAGTGAGACCAGCCTCCGAGGGTTCCGGGTTCAGGAGCAGGAGTAGAACCTTCAAAGGTAGTGCTTTTACATTGTTTTGGTCAGAGCCACCCAGAAGCCCCCAACACTGACCCCCCCTTCTTGCTAGCATTTGTCTGCACAGAACTTATGCCCATATTTAACATAAGAACCTCACTATTTGGTTTATGTGCTTGGATGAGTGGTGTTTTTCCAGGAGTTTCTCCCATTTCAAATTGCCATGAATTTGTTCATAATCTTGCCATTATCTTAAGGTCTGTGGAATCTGTAATAATAGCCCCTTTGCTGTTCTGACATTGGTCATTTGTACCTTCCTTTTTCTTGATCAACCTTGGAGAGGAGTTTTTGAATTTTATTGTTCTTTTTACAGAATTAACTTTTGACTTGATGCT